ACAATAAACTTAAAATGAGGCCTCTCTCTGTTGTATTACATTGAGTTTATATGTTCTGGCATCAGAACAGCAAGGCAGATGCTGCTGCTGTATATCCCTGGCCCAGCCACATGCCTCATCATGGCTTCCAGGCGCGTATCCAGTAAATGGAACGAGGGCATGCACCCCCTGTTTTGCCACTAAATTTTTAAATTTCAAAGCATAATTAATGTATTGTTTTATGTACTGAAATAGTACTACCCACTTTCTACAGTATTCTGAAAATGTTGTACCCACCTCCGTTTGAAAAAAAAAATTCTAGATCTCCATGCTTCCTTCCTGGGCCAATGGTTTTAAAGGAAAGAAATTATGCCACCAAATCGCATCTTGATTTTTCTAGGCCTAGCTAGTTCTTCGTCACAGATGGATGGTTTTGACCTCCACGTATCATCACGAGAGACTCTCAGCTCGCACCTGTCTCTCCCACAAACTTAACAAGGTAATATAAGCTAGGGCCTAGCCTTGGTTGGCCTAACTAAGCATTCTTAAGAGAGGCCTAGGCCTAGGGCCTGGCCTAGCCTTATTTTGCATATGTTAGGCTAATCATTATCTAGGTAGGGATTCCTATAATTTTGGCATTAATCTAAATAGACAAAATTACAGCCTACCTGTAAAAATCTCTGACTAAATGGCAAGAACCAAATCTAACGATATCCAAACGATAAACTGAACTCTGCATGCGCAAAACAACAGGTTATGCATATTCATGTCGTTGAATATTGATGATGTGCATCGATGCGTGTATATAGAAAATATAATAATTATTAAATAGGACAAATTTTTGATTTCCATTGAATAGAATATTTAACTATTATGCATGGACAATTAAATCTTTGATGCTATCTACATTACTCTCCCAAACAAATTAAACTGTACTTTAGTTTTTCTCACTGTTAGTAGTTAAGTTTGTAGTCATCAAGATGTTTGTTATTTGTTAATGTTATCATTAATAATTACTTTAGTACACACCTAAATTTATCTTTGTCATTTGAATTGTTTAAAAAAGCGGGGGGGGGGGAAGGAAAAAAAAGAAGGGCGGGAAGGAAAAAGAGGAAGAAAGAGAAAAGGAAAAGAAAGGAGAAGGAAATGAAGAAAAAAATATTATTAGTCACTTTTGGTAGCTATGGTTGTCATTCTCCAAATGACAAGGACCTTTTTTAGATGTGTTTCAATTAAGACCAACAAATGAACTGATGTACTGTCCCTTGAAAATGACCAAAATAAAAAAAATAATAATAATTTTTAAATTAACTTGCTTATTTTGCAGTAACATACAAATTATAAACTTGAGCATAGAAATTATTAAATTAAAAAAAAAATGTGTTCCCTGATTTTTTTAACTGGAAAATTATAATAAAGATAATAAAAAACACTTCCAGTGGAAGTGTTTCTATCATTTTTTTTTTTCGCTGTAAAATGATAGTTTTTATAGGTAAGCATTTTTTAAATACACTAATTCCTATGTTCAAGTTGATAATTTTTATGTTACTTCAAAATGGGCAAGTAAATTTAAAAAATTATTTTTATGATTTTGTTTTTTGTTTTTTGCAAGGTACATCTTTAATAAGTGCAATGGCTGAGTAATTCGCTGACATTTGGACTGCTCCATGCGCCACCGTTTGGCGTGTGCCATTGATACAAAAGTGTTTAAATAAAGTTCAAAGTTCAAAGTGTCTGCTGCTTGACACTTTGATATGATCAAGATGGCAGAAAACGTAGAAAGTTACGATGAAATACAGCTAGAAAATGTAGGGAAAGATGAGGATGAATTTGATATTAGGCGAAGAAAAATTGCGGAAGCATTTATCAATGCGTATGGAATAGGTAAATTTATTTTGTCTGGCCAAACAGAATATAACTTCCTATTTGCTCGTAAAAATCCTAGGCTTATCTAGCCTAACCGGAAAATTGGGGAAACCACCATGGCATTATTTTCTTTCTCTATATTATGGGACCACATAGGCCTAGCCTAGGCTACATGCCTGGCTTGTGTGGCTCTCTGATAACTTTTGTGTAGGCCTAGACCTAGCCTATATGGTATGAATGTGCCTCCTTCCTAAAAAGTATTAGAAAGTTGTTATTTAATAATAATGTTAAAGACAATTTTAATGTTGTTTTGTGGTTCAAAAGACAAAAGTAATGAAATGAGTATAATAAATGAAATTACGGCCTAGGGCCTATCTATGTGCATAGGGCCTAAATATTCATAGAAATACCTGGACGAAATAATTCATATATTTCTCTGCCTTGAGATTGTTAATGCACAGTGGTGTATCTAAGGCGTGCGCCCCTCTATTGAAATATTTTACGAGTATAACACCCCATCACTTAATCATTGTGTCAACTCCCCCCCCCCACCCCTGCCTCTCCAAGACTCTTAGATCACTGTTAATGAAAATCTTGTTTTTTTTTTCAATGTAAGATGTTGAGAAATTCAAGAATATTGACCCAGAAAGACTAATTGAACTTCAAAAGCAGAAGGAAGAAGAAGAAGCCAGGAACAGGTCACCCTACAATCTGCAGAACCTACTCTGGCTTATAGCTTTATTTTGTATTTTCTATTATACAGAATTTGTCCTTACACTACAAACAGATCCCAGAATCAAAAGGTAAGTGAAATATTTCTCTTTCATATTGAAAGGACCAACCTGAGTAGAAATAAGTATAAATGCAAGGCTCAATGGATTCCAGAATTTTTAATATTTAAGCAAAAGTAAGCTTTTTTTAATGTTAATCAAATTATGCACATTTTATGTCTAAAACCTAACGGTGAATTTATTCTCATATTCATTTCTGAATTGTCATGTACTGTACATCAATTACATGTAGGTGGTGGCCAGTTACCAACTCTTTTCCTACACTAACATTTAAATATTTATAGTAATGCACATATGATATTATGGGCACTGGAACCAACGGCTTAACTTTCCAACTGAAGGAAACAATCAAGAGTACCTGTACTGTTAAACCAAAGTGTTTTACCCAAATGCACTTTTAAGCCATGCTGTAAAAAAGGCCAGCGCAAGGAATATATCCTCAGCGCAAAAATTAGCCCTAGAAATCCGCCCACACATTTTGGAAAATAAGGGCTGATTTCTGCGCATATTTTGCCGAAAATTACGGAAAGCCTTGGTCTATCTCTTAATATGTAACAGTGTATTATATGCAGTAGTTATGATTCTACGCACCTATTTTTTGCTGATTTTGAGTGGAAATTTGGGGTAGTTTTTGATGTATCACTCGCATAATTAAAATACAATATGGTGCACAAGCAAAAACGGATTTGAAACCAAGTTTGAAACCTGCTAATATCATTTTTGCTTGTTAGGCAGAGGAACTTAGTACACATGTCGAGAAGAGTAGTACATTAGGCAATTGTTCCCCTGTGTACTGACCATGAGTAATAAGGGATGCACTGTGCCCTGAATTTCCTTATTAGTTTTCAATAGAAGCTGTATGTTTATTTTGTTTACAATACTTTGTTCTTTTAGGGGTTGGCTGTATACCGGATGTGTTCTTGTTGGTGTTAATTGCTGTATAGGGTTTTACCTGATTGTTGTATGCACCTGGATAAAAAAAATTGAAGACTGGGAGAGTCACTTCCCTTCAGCTATTCCATTAGCAACTGCATCATTTGTCTTTCTGTCTCTTATACACATCTAGATGTGTACGCCACTGATTGTACATTTATTTGTTTGATCTTCAGTACTTCTAATCAGAAGATATATTTAGGATTTATTATTTTTAAGTTTTATTTTTGATGTTTTTATTTATTTGTTGTTTAGAAAAGTCATAAACATTTATAGATCTTTTGTTGATACCGATTGCCTATATCAAGAAATGCCTGTGGAAGGCTGATGATAGATGACATTATTAACACTTATTTATTCTACGAAATACTTTGTTGTTGACAAAAAGTTCATCCCTGATGATGACATAATTAATGTCGAAATATTGAATCCCAACACGATGGCGTGTATTTCAATACTTGGAGTATGTATTATACTTTATTAACAGTTCATGATTTGTAGTAAATACATACTTTTCTTCAATTTCAGTTTGAATGTTGCCCTTTGGCCTGTTTATGGAATACTGGCCCCAATCATCTTGTTTACATTTTTAATGGGTGTAATTATCTTTGCTACATTAATACCTGGCTCAAGGGTGAAAGAAACAAAAGGCAAGAAAACAAAAGGTGGATATCAACGAATTCCATCAGATGATAAAGATGCACTTAAAGAAGACTGAACAAAAACAATGGGTGTATTCATCACAGTCCAAGAATTGAAAGTCCATACTATTAGTCCGTACATAGTTAAACTACCATGATGCATTTGGCAGACTTGATTTGATTTGGCTTTCTATAATACACTCTACAAGTCCATTTAAATCCGAGTACTGATAAGTAATACCATACCGTAAAACCTTGATTAGAAGCCTAATGGGCTTAATCTCGAGAAGAAGCCCATCTGAATTAAAGCCCCCCTCTTTTATTTGCAAATGTAGCCTCAAAAAGAAGCCCATCTTCAAAACAAGCCCATGGGCTTCTTTTCAAGATAGCACGAGATTCTTTTCAAGATAGTACAGTAAATACACTGTATATAATTTCAAAGAAACAAAATTAAAAACACACTTGGTTTAGTAGTTTAGGTGATTTAATGCTAGTAATACACTCCATGACACAGATTGATGTTGCAGTGGCCCTGTTTATTGCTTTGTAGTAGTAATTCCCAATATTTAGGGTATTCATTTTGAAAAGCCCCCCCCCCCTTTCTTTAATTTGCAAAAGAAGCCCATCTCGAAAAGAAGCCCATCAAAAGTTCACAAAAAAGAGAAGCCTTTCGCTTCTATTCGAGGTTTTGCGGTATCTGTTTTAATGGACATATGAACTTAATAATAATAATAAACATAAATAGGGAAGCAGATTAGCATTGGCGGATCCAGGGGTTTAAACGAACCACCCTCTGAATAAACGTAACAAAATACTACTGGGTCCTGTCTTACAAAATGCATGCTTACCTACCTAGGCATAGGTTGGCAGATCGGACAAAGAATCAACATTTTCCCAGGGGGTGGACCCCCAGACCCCCTTCCAATTTGGGGTTTTTTGGAAACATTTTGAGACCCCTCTTTTCAATACTAGCTCCGCCCCTGAGTAGAGTATTGTTATATATTGTTTGATGAATAATTAATGATCAAGTTCATTCATGAGAGCAAGAACTAGCATGGGTTTGGGGGGGGGGAGGTTGTTCAGCATGATAGCTCTTGAAACCTCAATGGGAAATAAGTTGGCCACAATACAAATATACGGAAAAGTTTAAATGTATGATTTAATATTTACTTTTTTTTCCTTTCCCACATAAAGCAATACCTTTTTCCCCCATCTTCTCCAGTATTGCAATTGCCTGTAATTTGTAAAGAACCGTGTATCCTTGATCACATGACCAGGACTACTTCTTGGGATATATTGTAGCAGTTCTGTTACAATTTATTATTGTACTGCACAATAAAAGCCTGCCAGTTAATAATACATACCTACTGTACAAACACATTCCCAAAACATTGTGGCAAAGGTAATTATGGGTTTCATATATTTTTTAAAGAGAATGGATATGTAGCTGTACTTTTTGTTATATGTATCTGGAATACATTACTGGATAAAATTGTTAATGTTCTTGATTTCAACAAGATTTTAGACCCAAGTTGTTTCTAAATTCATACAAATTTCAGTTTTTTGTTTTGTATACTGTAAGCACCTGTGTGAGTTGAATAATTTATTTTGAGATGAAAAATGTGAATAAAGTTTAACATTTTATCTAATGATCTGTCCAGTTGATATTTATGTGACTAATTGAATAAGAATCATCTTTCGAATGAGACATTTAAGCTGTTGGTCTCGTGTCCATAATGCCCATGTGCAGTACATTCTTCGGAAAAGAGTACTGATCAATCACTACCAGAAGGACTCTACTTCTTCAGAAGGGTACTTTGTGTCGAAGGACAACTTGTTGGAGACATGCTGACATTATCGCTGAATGACACCAGAACTGTAGTCAATATTAACATTCAATGTCGTTTATTTCCACAAAAGCAATACATAACAGTATTCACTATTGTATACGATTAAATTTAAAAAGAAACACAATGTAATTATCTAATTCATGTCATGCTAAAGGATTCCTTCACTTTATATTTTTAAATTCTTGACAATACATCTCTCAGAATCATATATTAAGATGCAAAAATGTGCTAAGTCTGGTCAACATCTTGTGTTAGGTCAACTTTGGTCATAACAGTGGTTTTACGCATTCCTCCGCGAAGACCAGCAAGAAACGTCTGAGGGCGTGGAACATTTGTGCCGCTGCTTTGCTTTGTCTGAGATCCAGTATCCCTACAATAACAATATGTCAAAATCATTGAATACATCATTATTTTATTAATAATTGCCATCATTTTTTTCTTAATTGTCATTATTCTGATTATCATCTTCATCATCATCATTGCCATCATCATCTTGATCACCATCATTGTCACCATCATCCTCATTCTCATCATCATTCTTATTCTCAACATCACAATTTTCATCACCACCACCACCATTACCATATTGTAGGGATAAATCAATCGTTTTTATGGCGCCATTTTGACAGTCGTTGCTCATGATCATCATCATTATTCTCATCATCGTTATCATCTTCACCACAACTACTATTACCATCACAGATGCTCTAGCATTGTGTACTGTAGAAGCATAGGCTTACAGTATTATGATTATCCTAAACCTTCGGCTCACTAAGTAAGAATAATAAAATAAAGAAGACTGCTGTTACATACTTTGGTAGGTAGACCTGCGACACATTGTCCCGCCGTAGGTTGCTAAGGTTCGTCTGAACTGAGTGAGTCACCTTATTCCGTAAGTTTGCCTGAAGGAAGGAAGCAGAATAAATAATACTATAAAAAATATCTACTTCCCTACAACAAGCAGATTTATTTCGTTCTTATAGTATTTACTTTTAGTCTTATATATTTGACCACACAAAACAATGCATACAAAAATGCACTACTGTTGCATAGCATAATCATCATCTTAATAATCATTTAGAAGCAGTGGTGGCGCCAGATATTTCCCATCGAGGGTTTAAAGGTCTCTGACAAGGGTAACACAGTTTAGAAGCCTCGCATCATAAAATAAATGAACAAAACAGTGAAAAAAGTTTCTACATACTACAATAAGAAGAAAGGTAGAAGTTACTACACTATTTAATTAGGTGTTTTTGCCAATGATGATGGCTAAGATGATAATGAATAAGGAATGACTGACCAGTTTGATAGCTTTTCTCCTTAACTCCCACTCATTCCATTCGTAGGACTTGACGATGTTTGATTCAATTGGGTGAACTTCCGTCTGGATACCAGCATCACATTTAGTAATTGGCTTCTCAATCATTTTGCCTTGATCTTTTCCCTGTAGATAGTATTATAAATAATATATTTACTTTTAAATCCAACCCACACAAACTAAATTTACCACATGAATAAGACAACTTTAAAAATGATGTACATATTTTGAAAATATGTGATACAACAGATGACCAATAAATGTTGGAAGACTCAATAATAATAAGAATAGAAGTAAGAATTACATATTTTTGAGCCAACTAACAGTATAGTAAATAATCTACCTCTGAAGAAATACATATTATAAATTGAGAGAGCAGCTTAGCTCAGTCGGCTAATCTGGTTGTAGCCACTGTGTGTGCGCTGAACCGTGGAGATCTCTAGGTCCCCGGTTATAGTAAATACCATATTT